TTATATTTATATATACGAGTGTAAAATGAGGCGTCCAAAGTTTGATAGACACGCAAATCTAGATACGAAGAAAGCGAAAAAAGAGCGCAAAATCGAAAGTACTGCGTGTATTGCTACAATTAAAGTGTTATCGTATATCGATTTTTGTATCATTTATTTTTTTGTTCGCTTTGTATACAAAGTATACGCAATAGAGTTCTTACTTAAATCTTTATATAACATTGAATCGAAAAGTGAAATATTTATTAAACATGAATAAAAATTGTAAAAAATGTATATTTTGTTTTTGTTTAAGAAAATATGTTAAAAATATATATATTTCGTCTTAAGCTAATGCTAGGATTTAAATTTTAAGTTTTTTAGTGGTTCATCTCTCTAGTGAGCGTAAAGTACATCGATATAACAGAGTCATTCCAATCACAATTTAGCAAGGACAGACAAATTACAAACATTAATTCAAAATTCAATATAAAAAAGTTTCGACAACAAGCATCGAAATATATATATCGATATACGTCTATATATCTATATAAACACGAAAGGCAAACAGGCATAATAGAGAGACGTAAGAAATATATAGATACATAGATAAAGGATAAGAGAATATGGCAACTGTTAACTGTTAACAGCTGTTAACCAAGTGTTAACAGTATGCTAACATTACATAAGTACAGAAGCTTTTACTGTTACAGCTAACATTGATAAACACAGTTCACTTAAAGCAGTCTATAAATAATTTCTGTTTCTGTTGTTTTATGTAAGTACACTGTTAGAGGGAATATGCCAACATAAGGTATAACAGAAGCTGCTAAGCCCGTTTCATTCAATGACTCATACAGTTGTACTTAAAGTATTCTTCAATCGGTTGATTGTTAAAGCTATTGAACAGCAGTTAACACTAAATGTAAGCAGTCAGAACTATATTGTGTCTCTTTAAGTGACAGTTGTGTGTTCCCGATGTTACTGCTGCTGTTACGACTCTGCAAACAGCAACTGTTAAGCGTGTGGTTTCAAAATGCAATTTCAAGCTCTCTGTTACTCTAACATTCAAGATAAGCAGCTGTTAATTGATTTGCTAACAGCTAGTGTTAAATCTGCAATTATTGATTATGTTAAAGCCAGGTGCTACAATTTATAACTGCTGTTAACTTTCTGACTGCCATTACAGCTTTTAATGTTAACTGTGTATTCTGCTAACAGCAGTGGTTAGAGCTACTGTTAACGGTTAAGTATACTGTTAAGCTTGCAGTTATTACATCCATCAACTTCACTGTTAACTGCTCTGTTGGCAGCAACCATTACGCTTATGTTAACATTACAACGCCCGCGCTGTCTGTCTGTCTGTGGCTGTGGCTGTGTATGTGCGTGTGCGTGTGTGAGGGAAATGTCTTTTCCATTTACTTCAATTACAGAGCTATTATCCAATGGGGGCGGGGCCGGGGCCAGGTCCAGGGTCGGATTAGTTAATTGATTGGTGGGTGGGGATTGGGGGTCTTTTGGTTATCTCGGTTGCCTTTTTATAATGTCTTGGATTTCATTGTTTTGGGAGGCTTGGTGCAATGTCATTGGGTATTATCCGCACGACCGCTGTTGCCATTGGAGGCAGACGTTGCCGTAGCCACATCATCGCCCACGATGAGCACCTTGCCGACGCCATCGGGCGCAACCAGCTCACCGCTTAGACCATCCAAACCTGGCTCGCTAACATCTCCGGGTATCTTTGGCTTTGGACGATGCGTATCGACAGCATCGATTGGCAACTTGATATGCTCCACCTTACAGCCATAGGCGACAGGTGTTAGCTTAATGACCGTGTGCAATGGGACATACAAATAGGGCAACTCATCCGCTGACTTGTCCAGGAAGTAGGCGAACAAACACCTTAGGACAGCCTGATGGGAGACAACGAGCACATTGCCCTGACGCTCCAATTCCATGATAACAGGCTCAAGTCGCGCCACCAGATCCTCATAGCTCTCGCCGCGTGGATAACGATAAGCGAACTTATTGAGATCTCTCGCCTTGAACTCTTCGGGAAAACGCTCCTTAATCTGCTCATAGGTCATCTCTTCACAGTGGCCCGCATCGATCTCATTCAATGCCTTCCAACGCTCCTGGGGCGCCTTGACATCTGCTACCGTCTGTATGGCACGCTTCATCCATGAGGTCCACACACGCAATCCATCGATCTGTTGCTGCGAGATGAACGAGGCCAACGCTCTGGCATATTGATGTCCACGGGGACTCAAGTTCGAGTCACCACCAATTAAGCCGCTCAAATTGTGCTCCGATTCACCGTGACGCGTTAGATAGATGGTGCGTGGCGTTATATGAATGTTCATTAGATAGTAAACAATGCGCGATTCCACATGACCCTCGTTATTATAGACGACGACCTTTTTGCCGGCATTGTAGACCTTCATGAAGCTGAGATGCGACTCGGCGACTTCGTCAATCGGTTGATATCGCTCCTCGTAATGCTCGATGCGTTGCAAGAAATCTCGGACAACCAGCTCCGTATTCATATTGATGTAATCCGGTGAGCTGACCTTCACTTCCAATATATTCTGTTCAATGATTTGCGGATCATCGCATATCGACTCCACAAAGAACAAACGGAAGCCATGTTGCTTAACCACAATGTCATAGATCAATTGACGGCGATCGTGCGTCGAATTTGTGGCATCGAAGACAGCGATGCTGCCGAGTCCACTCAACAGCCAATCACACGAGTCGTGTAGTGCTTGATTAGCACAGCGGTTCCGAATGGCCATTGCCTCCTCATTATCGGCACGAAAGAATTCATGGGATTTGTAGGCAGTCGTTGCATGACGACGATACTCGCCCAAATTAAAGACACGCGTCGCGATGCCAATCCAATTGAGATAACGCGCCAGCTTCTTCGATATAAATGTCTTGCCCCTGGCGGGCAGGCCCACCATTGCGATCACATGCGGCGTTGTACAATCGGCTATTGTACGCTCGCCCCGAATCGGAAACGGTTTGGTCATCACCGTTTCCGATGTGGGCGGCAACAGCTTACGCAATTCATCCGACATCACCGATGGACAGACATGCAACTCATTCTCGATGGCCAGGTCGGCGGTCTTCTTCAACTGATTCAATGAGGTGGTACGCACGCGTAACGACGGCGAGGTGTTATAGGGCATATCCATGATGCTGGTGGCTGTTACGGAACGTACTAGCTCTTTGGCGGCGGCAACTGCGGCGTTTTGCTGTATCAATTGTCGTTGCTCCAACTGTTGTCGTTGCAAAACGTGAGCGCAACAGCAATTGCAGGGCTTAGATGTTGTTAATAGAGCTGGTGAAGAGGAGGAGGAGGAGGAGGAAGAAGAGATGGTAGAAGCGGAAGATGCGGAAGAGGTTGTTGTTGTCACGGAGGAGTTGGTAACGGTAACGGTATCGGTATTGGTGTTGGTATTGTTATTGTTGTGGTTGTTGTTGTTGTTGTTGGATGTTAACTTTTGCTGAAGCGTGGGCAACAATTTGTTAGCTGTTGCTTCTGCTGCTGTTGTTGTTGTTGTTGTTGTTGACGTTATTGTTTCCTCCTTGTTGTTGTTGTTGCTAGCTGCAATGTAAGTGAAATGTGTTGAATTGTTGTTGCTGATGTTGTTACTGCTGTTGCTGCTGCTTGGCAATTGTTGTTGCTGCTGCTGCTGCGTTGTTGTAGCTGCTGCTGCTGCTGCTGCATTGAGCAATTGTTGTAGTTGTTGTTGTGGCGTGAGACATGAAATTAGGCGAGCATTTTTTTTAGTTGTTTGTGTTGTTCTTGTGGTTGTTGTGATGGGCAATGAGTGTGATGCAGTGTTTATTGTTGTGCGTTCCACATGAAGCAGCCCAACAATATTATTCATAAATATGCGTGCGTGTGTGTGTGTTTGCCAAAAAAATGAACTCAATTAATGAGAGTTAATGGAAAATACCGAAAATAAACCAGTTAAAAAAACCCGTTAGAAGCAGACGCAATCAAAAATAAATAGTAAAGAGAACGCGTTAAAAAGCAACTAGATAAGTACATATGCATATATACACACACCCACACATCCATTCATACATAAATGATTTAGCAATACATACATAGATATATCTACCACATATAGATATGTATATTTGACTTCTTTTTGCACTTGACGCACACGAAAACCGACGACTGACTGAACTGAAGCGCGCGAGGAAAATTTGTGCGGAAAAGCAAATGAGAATGAGAAGCAGAAGAAGACGAAGAAGAAGCAGAAGCAGAAGAGTAAAAACGTGCGTGGGCGACGACAAACGTTTTTATATGGAAACAAAAACAAACAGCTGTTGGCTTATTAAATATTAATTATAGGCATTGGACGACGAGGGATGCGTGCGTGAGTGCGTTCGTGCGTGCGTGTCTGTTGGCTTTAWTAATGACTTGTTATCGATAGTTCAGCCCTGGTAGTAATTAGCGATCGATTAGCGCATAAAAGCGAAATTCTTCTATTATCTGCTGTTGATGTTGTTGTAGTAGTCGGTGTTTTTGTTGTTGTTGCTCTTATATTCTGCTTATGTTTGGCAAATATACATACATACATATGTACTACATAAACTAAAAGAAAAAGACAGAGATAAAAGCAGAAGAAAAGATAAACAAAGTGAGATATTTGGAAAATGACAAACAAAACAAAATAAATATATTTAAAGAGAAGCAGCGGCAAAAAGATATAGCAGGCGCAGAAGAAGCGGTGAACACATGCTTTCTGCATGCATACAAAAATATTTTGCTTTTCTTCTGTCATTTACAGCAAATTGAGTGCAACTTAAGAAATTTCCAAGGCAAAACGAACGAATGAGAGAGTGATAAGGAAAGACCAATGGAATATTTGCAAGCAAGCCAATGGTGTAGGTAGGTAAACAGGCAGAACAACAACGGCAGAAGAGCTCGCTCTCCCTCTCTCTCTCTCTCTTTCAGTCGTTATCGCACTGTCAAGGTCAGTGTTGCCAGACAGGCCAAACATTAACGGACGTCTGCATGCAAGCATAAACACACACACAGGCACACATATAGACAGCGCATGCATGTGCTAAGCGATCAGCTGTTTAGGTAGCAGCAAACTGTCAGAGAAGCCACACACGACTCAAACACGCTAAAACTAGTTACATGACATTTAGCTTTTTAGCTTTTTTTTTTTTTTTGACTGAATATTTGAAGTTAGCATATATTATTAATACATGCCGATTATTACATATTTTCTATTAATTTGTATATGCATAAATAAATGTTGAAGCAGCCTAACAATCTAGCTATATTACATTGAGCTATACTAACTAGCTCTTTCTTAATAAATGTAACTAAAACATAGATTCTTTTCATTTATGCAAGATCGCGCCTTGTTGAAATCTATCTATCAATTAATCGTTGGCTTATAAAGTTGGCAGCACTATTGCCGCGAAGTTTCATTGAGTTATGTCTAGGTGTACAAGTGTGACTAAGTGTTTAATTATTCCCTCATTCATTGACATTATTTATTAAGCAGCAAATTGATTTATAATCAAGAAAACTAGCCGACAGGTGATTTATAATTGACTTATGTAATGCAAATGCTATTGGTGCTGCATACTGGAAATGTAGCGACAAATAGTTGTTAATGGCACATTAAGCCAATTGGATTCCAATTACAACAGCTTCTACAGTCAACAGCAGCAAGAACTGCGCAGTACGAAAAAAAAAAACAAGTAATTGAAGACTTTCGTAACAGGCAGTCTGATAGCCAATCAAAAGCTGAGTGATATGGTATGATTGAATCCATGCCCGAGCTAGTTAGTATGCGTGTGTGTGTGTGCATGTGTGCAGTTGTAATTACCTGCGACCAAGTTTAAAGTTGTAAAGCAGCGCGAGCAAGCGAGCGAGCGAGCGAGATAGATGCAAACGCGCGAGCGCAAAATTATAAGAACAATAACAACAACAATATAAACACTAAAGAAAAAACATAAAAAAATAAAGATGAAGTGAGAGAAAAAATCTGTATAGCAGCAGACACAACGCTCAATGCGGCAATACTAAAAATTGTGCACTAAATGCAAAAAGTTTGAAGCGAAGCGAAATTGTTACGCAGCAGCAGCASCAGCACTACCAGCTGCGCAGCCGGCAGCGCAGTTTGTAACTGTAAACTTTTTGCTTGCTTGCTTGCTCGCCTGCTCGCTTGCCGGCAACGACAGAGGTCAACAAATCAAACGAAAAGCAACGCGAAAAACTACAACAACGACACCATACATAAAAAGTAGCTGTAAAACGAAAACTACGCAAAAAAAAAAAAACAAATTCGAAATCAAATGGCGCGATTTTTCGCTTTGATTCTGATTGGCAGCAAATCTATCTGTCTCTGCGCTCGCGTGTGTGTGTGTGTGTGTGTGTGTGTGTGTGTATGAACTAGTTTACAATTGCCCGCTTGCGCAAGATGCCAACTGGACTGAAAGGCTCTAGGGCAGGGCTACGAATGAGGGAGGGGGATACACTTAAGTGACTCCAAGTGCAATTGAACAATAGTCAGAGGAGCCGCAGCCTGACAATTTGCATATTCATATAATTACGTACATACGCATACATACACATATTCTATACGTCTTTTCTAATATAGATTTGTGGTAAATATACTGATTAGGGCTGGCAGCAGCAATACAAATGGAAATGCGTCACTAGAAACCAAATTTGACCTGCGATTAGCGATCTGAAACAGGCGATAGGCGAGATTACGCCAATGCATGAAGAGAGAAGAGCGGAGAGGGAAGAGAACACAAACAAAAGCAAAAACATTTGATTTCAATCACAACAGCTTTCCAAAACTTTCCAGTGTCACTCTAGCTGGAATCCTTTCCAGAATTTATAGCTCATTGCCTCAAGATCAACCACATTAACGTTAACATTGTCCAATCGGATTCATTCTGCTGCTTGAATAGATCGTATTTGTACTACCCCTGTCTCTTTTCTATTCTCAACCTCCTCATCTACATCTGCTATCTGCTCTCTTAATCTTACGCTCTCTCTTCATACATCTCATTCCATCTCTTCACACATGTATCTCGTTCTCTTTTCATATGCATACCGTTATCTGCAATTTGTCTATCTTTACTAACAAAAGTAGATTTCACATATTCCAATTGGCATGCAGCCTCTATTTCGCTACCTCTCTCGCTCTCTTCCACGCTATATATCTCGTGCACTCGTTGCTGTCTTCCTCTTCCACTTCTATTCTCGCCAAACATTCCTTTCCCCATCGCCTATCTTTGTCATCAACCAGCTGTTGCTGTTGCTGCTGCTGCTGCTGGTGTCGCATTCATTCGGCTTGCACGTGGACAGTCTGTCAATTTGTCTGTCTGTCTGTCTGTGTGCCTGACCGCACATACTTACCGTTAGCATAATCAGTAATTATTTGTTTGTATTTCTGCTTCTTCTTCTGCTAACAGCGCGATGTTAATCAAAATGTATTCCAAATGATTTCCGACTGCGATTGATAAGAACATTTTGTATTTAATCAACAATTACCATTACCATTACAATTACAATTACAATCTTGCTGAACTCTGATTAACCCCTTGACAATATATTAAAAATGCGAACAGCAACTATAATAATAATTATAATCAGTACTCCAGCAGCTGACGCGCTTCTAATAAGATAATCGTGGTTTTGCCCTTCACACTCCGCTCTTATCGAAAGCTAAAAAATATGCAGACATATGTACGTATGAAGCGACGATAAGCCAAACACACATACAAGAAGCATAGACACGCATAATCGACTAGCAGATACCCTATCAAGTCAACCATCTGACTGATAACTGCATGAGCGACTACCAGATACCTTAGTCAATCAATCAATCAGTCTCAAAAACTTGTCTACATTTTTTTTATCTAATTTCCCGATCAACTGGCAGATATCCTAACTAAATTCTGATCAATCAACGACGATGCGACGTGAAGATACTCTAGGAAACCAAATATACGACTGTTGCTGAACGACTTGCTGCTACCCTATAAATTAGCTCTTAGGCTTTAATCAATCAATCATCGGGGTTAAGCTGTTTATAGATACTGGAGGCAATCGGGAATTCATGTCAACAAACAAAATATTGCCACTGCGTTAAACATATTCAGTTATCTTCCATCAACATCAATGCCTCGCTCTCTCTCTCTCTATATATATATACATATATCTATGTATATATGAATATGTGTTAATTATAACACTAACACTATTAATTTCGCACTGATAACACACGTCAGGCATCCGTAAGCCCCTTGCAAAAGTAGAAAAAAAAAAAGCGCCGAGATATAAACAATATTTACTTATGAGATAAAAAGCGAGTGAAGAAAACAAAAAGTCAAACATTTCTTTAAAGTTGAATGAAAAAAAAATGGATATATGTATATACACCCCCACTCATACAATTTTTACTGATTAAAACCCTGCCTTTACCTATGATTAATTGGTTATAGAAATATCTTTGAGTTGATTTACATCAGTTAGGAACAAGTATCGGACAGTCAGTTATGCCCAACAAAGATACATATACATATTCTTGCTTTATCTTTATTTCTAGATCAACA